GCGGGGGAGAGGAGGGGATGGGGAAACCCGCGGGGGGGAGAAGCGACAAACCCCACCGCCAGCAGCAGCTCTGAAAACCCTCCCACGCCTCTTTTGCCATAAACTTGGCAAAACCGAAGCTTGCCAGGCGGCGGTCCCCCGAGGCTGAGCCCCGCGGGGAACGAAGGCTTTTCGTGAGCCTCACGCCCTGCCCAGCACCTAACGTTGCGGCGTAAGGCTTGCTTCTTGTGACCTTCAGTCTTTCTGATCTTTTTATTTTCTCGGAGGCGGCGCAAACAACTCTTTTAAAATTAGTAGCGGCTTCGGTCAAGAGAGGGGCTGAAGGGCAGCAACTGGGCAGGCACGGCAAGGCAGGCTTCTCCCGGGGTGTTTCAACCCAGCGGTGCGAGCCCAGCACCGGGGAAGGCAGCGCGGGGCCCCCTCGCACCCCGGGCAAGGCGCGCACCCCGAGCGGTGTGAAGGGCCCGCCGGCACAGCCTTCGCGGCAAGGCCGGCGGCACGGTGAAATCTCAGTGCGCTGTTTCAGAAATAACTCCCCTCACGCCGTTTCCCCGGGAGAGCAACTGTTACGCCTGTGTGTGAAAGGAGAACCCAGCTGGAGGCTGGGGAGCCTGGCTTACGTTGCTGCAGTATGTGCCTGCTCTCGGGTGTGCCCGGCGTTGGGCACCCTGGCCTCTCTCGGGTGTTTCAGGACCCTCTCTGCTTCCCTCCAACCGTCTCCGTTTGCTTCACCTTGCTTTCCTGGCCATGGTCGGAGGATGGCAGAGGTGGCAGACGGGTCAGGCCACCAGCCGACGCAGGGACCAGGAGACAGGAGCGAGCAGGCTGAGTGAAGTGACGGTGAGAAACTCAGGCGAGGGATTGCGAGGGGAAGGGGAGATGCTGCCTGACTGGCTTTTTCACCGGGCTGCCTTGGCGACAGTCCCACAGGTTCTGGTTAATGGTCACCCTTTTCCCCAAACCCCTCCTTTCCCCTCAGGCTTGAGCTCATATCTCTGCATATTCTGCCCATCGGGAAGTATCTTGCCCAGCTCAGCGACCAGAGTAAATGCAAGCAGCTTCTCTGGCCCCAAAAGTGAGAGTTTCGTCCTCAGCAAGACTTGGCAAATCTGGGTCAGAAGCCGCATGCAAGTGATGGCATTGCTGTCTGCAAGAAACCCCCATCCCAGGCAGATTGTAAATATTTTGAAACATTCAGACATTGGATTAATTTGCCAGTAACAGAAAGGAAAAGGACACATTCATCTTTTCTGTACTACATGAATGGAAGATTACCATGAAAGCCCACCTTTGTCTTGTACCGAGGCTTTTGCATTATGAGCAAAATATCTGTTTCTGTGCATTTACGCCAATGTATAACAGAACACTTATTGTAGTATAGTCATCCTTAATTTTGTCTTCTCTCTCTTTGACAACCTGAGGTCTCCCCTTAATTCCCGTGTCCTCAGCAGAGAGTTAAGAATGCTGCTTTCCGCTCCCTCCTCTCCATCCCTGACATACACAGATGGCCTGAGGGCAAGGGAGGCGGCTGGCTGTCCTAGCTGTAGGTAGAGAAACTACAATACGAATTTGCAGAAGCAAAACATTGATCTCTAATTTCCTTGTTACCATGGGTAGATGTTGACTGAGTCCACCGTTCAGTAATTACCCTGGTCATCTGAGCCACATGCCACGGTAATGAGCCACATGCATGTTCCTAATTTGCGCCCTTATGAAAATACATTGTCTAGCTTACATACTTTATTTTGCAAGTGGATTGGTTCGGAGGCTGCACGCTGTCAGTTACCATAGCTCCAGGAATGAATGGTGATTATTAAATCACGGGAACTTGATTTCATAGCTCTGTTCATCATCTGTTCAGTCATTTTTCATCTCCCCTTTTTACTCCTGAATTAAATGAACTCTTCCCTATCCTAGAATAGATGCTAAAGCTGCATGGGCAGAAAACCTCTACAGAAACCCCAAAACCTTCCCCCGTCCACATCGTTAGCAAGCTACACCGCTCCAGTTATTGCAAGAACCTGAAAGAACTTCCCTTGCCTCAGCTGCAACTTCTGCTCTACTGTGATACACAGCGCAGAGGTGTAAAGCACAAAACAACAAAATAGTATTTGCTTATTATGTTCACTTCTTTTTATACAGCACAGCAAAAGAGCGAAAGCCTATTAATCACCGAAATCATGATCTTAATACCTCTCCAGAGCACCAGCAGCACCGACTGCCCACGGCCCCAGTTCATCAGTCCCATTTAGCTGATGGAAAAGCCGGGTGAAATG